TTTTTATTGATTATTATTTATTCTATTATTTTATTTATTTTATTTTCATTATTTTAATCTAAGATAATATTTTTTAAGATAGAGATCAAAACTTGTATTTCTACCCTAAATTCATTTATTAAAAGTAGTTAGGTGCGTATAAAATTATTTTCAATCTTATTTGCGAAATATTTTGAATCAAATATTTTGTCTTTTTGAAGCAGATTACCTTTGACTTAGTGAAACCGACATAGAGAAAAATTAATCATAACATCATCAATTATAAATTAACCTTTTCCACTCGGATGCCGCCGCTCCGTCGGCAAAATTCATATAAATCTCGGAATTCGCGAGTGGAAAGGTTTGCTCGATGGTGGCATGTACGTGTATATGAACTCTATGCCAAAATTTTAGTTGTAATTCTGAACCTGTAATTGAGATTTTTGTACTGTAGTTCTGAAGTTTTTAACAGTTATTTTATAACTATATCACTATTAATATAGTCTTTATTGACCTTATACCTTTAGTTAGTAGAATTCAGAAAATTGTGTGAATTATCCAAATTTATCGACCGTTTCGCCTGTGTCCTTTTCCAAATTAAAACCAGAACTGAATTAATATATTGTTTCACGGCAATTCAACGCAATAAAATCAAATTGTATTTCCCGCTTGGCCAAAAAATCAATGTGACCAATAAATACAATGCAAACTATATAGTGATTGTGCAATGCATAGCCGTAGAAACGAATTCCTTCGATATCCGAGAAGCAATAAAATTAGTTTCGCGCCGATAAATGCTACCCCTTTTATATTCGTTCTAGTACTACTAACCCATTGAAATTGGATTCGTGTTATATTTTACATCTCGAATGATGTGAATTTGGTTTCTTTGGCATTCTTTGATTTGATTGAATTTTTCTGATTTTACTCAAAAAGAATTATTCTAATATTGTAAGTGTTACCAATTATAAATCTCCAATCTAATTGCACCTGTAAGTGCTATAACTCATAAGCTTCATAGAAAGCTCATCAGTTTCTACATAGAAAAGTCATTAAATAATGTAAACTAATAAATCTATATAATATTAATTTATTAATGAATAGAAAGTGATAACAAGTCGACTGTTGTTTTGCTTTCGCATAAGTTTTGTTGTTGGGAGCTAAATATATTCCTTTATAAAAGAAAACATTGTTTTTCACCAAAAAGTTCTAAAATGTTTATGAATTTTCATATATATATTGATTTAAAAAAAAAGTTTATGAATTTTCACCTAAATCTAAATTATTCTTTTCTATTCTAGAATGGGCTAGAATCTAGCCCACAATTATTTTCTTCCCTGTTCATATAATATTGTTATATTATATTATAAGATATTATTATATCTTGATTGCTATTTCAAGAAAATAAAATAAAAATAATAATATTTACTATAGATTCTTAAATAGAATTTATTATTTCAAATTATTCTTTTATAATAGTAGTGGCTATAGTGACTTGACATAATTTTGTTTGAATATTGGCTGCAGAGGATCTCTTCAATGGAGGAGACCTTTAAACGCCAAATATCACATAGGCATATAGAAACATTGTCTTCTGATGGTCTATTAAATAATAAAAAAATAAAAAAAAATTGGCTGAATTTTGACTAGATCTTAAATAAATAGTTAGATCCAGACAATTGAAGTATAAAAGTAAACATTGTTTATCAAAAAGTCCTCATCTAATTTAATTCTTTTCTATTCTAGCCTACAATTATTTTCTTCTCTGTCCATATAACAATAGCTTATAAGATATTATTATATCTTGATTGCTATTTCAAGAAAATAAAAAAAATAATTTTAATAATTTTTACTATAGATTCTTAAATAGAATTTATTGTTTCAAATTATTCTTTTATAATAGTAGTGGCTATAGTGACTTGACATAATTTTGTTTGAATTTTGGCTGAATTTTGACTAGATCTTAAATAAATAGTTAGATCCGGATAATTGAGCTATAAAAGTAAACATTGTTGTTCATCAAAAAGTCCTAAAATAATGATTTAAAAAAAAGTTTATAAATTTTCACCTAAATCTAAATTATTCTTTTCTGTTCTAGCCTACAATTATTTTCTTCTCTGTCCATATAACAATAGCTTATAAAATATAATAATATCTTGATTGCTATTTCAAGAAAATAAAAAAAATAATTTTAATAATTTTTACTATAGATTCTTAAACAGATTTTAATGTTTCCAATTATTTATTTATAATAGTAGTGGTTAATGATTTGACTTAATTTTGCTTGAATTTTGGCTGATTTTTCACTAGATCTTAAATAAATAGTTAGATCCAGACAATTGAACTATACAAGTAAACATTGTTATTTATGAAAAAGTCCTATAATGTTGATTTAAAAAAATTATGAATTTTCGCTTAAATCTAAATAATTCTTTTCTATTCTGGCCTACAATTATTTTCTTATCTGTCTCTGTTCATATAACAATAGCTTATAAGATATTATTATATATCTTGATTCAAGAAAATAAAAAAAATAATTTTAATAATATTTACTATAGATTCTTAAATAGAATTTATTGTTTCAAATTATTCTTTTATAATAGTAGTGGCTATAGTGACTTGACATAATTGTGTATATATAGTTAGATGCGGCGGACACGTAAACTATAAAGGATTAATTAATTTATTAATTAATTATTTTTCATCAAGAGTAGTGTTGAGATCACTATATTTTTGTACTAAGTTCGTAGATGCTTATTAGACATAAATAATTTTATTAGAAATTTTAAACTCTATTCGTAGCTGAGTTTACATTGCTTTATAAAATTAGGAATAATTGGTTATCAGCAAGTATTTGACCAATAAATTTTATCTATTAAACGAAAGATAAATCCGTTGTTAATTTTAACGAATAAATAAAGAATATTTTAATTATTACAAATTCGTATGCACAAATAAGATATCTACAATATTATTGACCGTTTATATTTAGCCTGACTCTTGTAGATGTTTTTTCTCATTATCAAATTCAACCATTCAAATTTTAAAAATTATTAAATTCATATTTTATAAGTTGTTCATTATGAATAAACAAGTGAGCATTAGTTGAAATAAATATAAAATTAATATGATATATTTTAAGCAAGAAAATATATCAATATTATTGATGCTTTTGATGATTTTATTATATATGTACAACTATGAGGTTTGATCTATATTCAGTCATTTATTAGTGAAAAGTTCATATATTTGCTATAACTAATACTATCTAATATTTTTAGATTGCTGAATTATATAAATTATTAATAATTTAATTTGTATTACATTAATCAAGTTTTATGCAGTACCTGCACAATTCTACCATTGAGTAACTGAATCGATATTACATTATATATATATATATATATATATATATATATATATTATTATTATTTATATATGTTGTATGTAATATGAAGGGGTCCTGTATGAGCACGCCTAGCCAATGCAAACCCACCCTTCTTTGAAAATTTCATTGGATGGCTCAGCACCCCAAATATATTATTATGTAAATTAATATCCAATGTACACTCATTACAAATATTATTTTATTCACTATTCTTAAATACTACTAGACTTAAATAATAGCAATGGACTTCAGATTTTAAATATAATTGAAAATACATTACAAAGAAAAGTGAAAAAGTTATGATCACAATAATTATGTATTGAAACATAAAAATTGCACGTTTTTACATATCATTAAATTAATATATTAGAGTAATTAGTTCGCAGCCCCCGTTTTCATTCAGCTTTTCCCATATTCTTCACCTCGGGAAAACGTGTTGGATTTAAATCATTCGGTGGAAGAACGTTTTTCTTCGTTTTCTTTATTTTGCTTATTGCATTAAATGCACCTCTCGATACCTGTAAATAATAGAATGATTAATACAATTTGGAATTTTAGTGCACTATTGCAAATTTTGAAGATTTTTTTTAAATAAATTACTTTTTGTAGTTAGAGCTCTATTGCAGTATGTTCGATAAGAAGACCATGAATTTGACATGAACGTTAACGCCATGCAACGTTTCATTAAATAAATAAAACTTGTTTTTAAAATTAGGTTTTAAAAAAAGGCTCGTCGATCGAATGCAAAACTAGCTAATCAATGGGAGTCTTTATCGAGTTTCAGAGTGCATCCCTTTTTGAGAAAACCTAGACAAAAAATGTTAAATTTTGAATCACACACATACTCGGATACTTTTTTGAGTGATAGAATAAGATTATTGTTTGAATCAGATAAAATTTAATAAGAATCGCTATAAAATGGAGCCATCAAATCCGTTGGAAAATTCCATAAAGTTTATGTTGCTAAATGCGATCAAGTAATTTGAGTATTATGATGAAAGGGCGATAAATGTTGCAGATATTTCTTTTAGAACTCTATATCAATCAATTCAAAAGAAAAATGATTAAATCGCTAGAAAAATTTAGCAAACATACTAAATATGTATTTTTTTTAATCAAATTATTTGTTATATCAGGGTATCTGCATGGTATCTGTTAGTTCACCTTAAAATAGAAAATCAGGTAGCTCTATCTGCAAATCATATTAAGTACCGCACATCTTAAAATCAGCTATGAAAAATATTTAAAAATAGTTGTTTTTTATATTTTTAATTGTTCAACATATTTATTTTATACCATTTACAATAGTTATTTATAATAAGAACTTTTTTGTTAGTATGCATTTACTTCAACTAGTATTTTTATAGTTTCGATTATTATTTTCTAATAATTTAAGTACATATTTTTAATAATCAAAAATATTATCAATATTGGAATTCTTATACCCGTTCTTCATCTATTGGTGTGAACCATGATCTGATATAAGTCCATGATGCAATGGAAAATTTCTCAAAACAAGTTCTCATAACACAATTGTCAACACTGTCAATAAATGTGGTTAAGAGGGTTAAGATAATACATAAATAAATGTAGTGCAATATGTTATGGAGAAACTATAAATTATTTCTGAAAATCGAATTTGGAAAATCGAAAAAAAATATTTCAAATCTTGCGCCATGTATCCTATGTACAAGGACAACAGCCAGCACCCAATCTAAGAGAATATTTCTATTACATTGATCATCAGGGAATGGTAACCAATTAATATTCCATTATCCTAATTATAATATTTATATGATATAATAAGTTTTTTTAAATAAATAATTAATTGATCAGAATCAATTACAATTTACAGTTATTTCTTGATGATTCAAAAATGAAAAATTTCACATCGTGCTTCAAAGATAAAGATTTCTTAGTATTTTTCTTCAAACGACTTCGAAAAAATACCACAGACCGATACAAAGAATTTCCATACCTTTCTCTTTGTGGCCGAGAAAAAAATTATGTCAGATGTGACGATCTTCCAATAGTATACACTCATGTCTTGCCGATAGAGAATCAAGAAAAGCAATATCTATTATCTTATGCTCATGCTGGACCTTTATTAACTGAGAAATTTGAACCAAATAAAATATATATGTGTCCAAAATCTGGACGTGTTTATCATCCAGCCCATGAGAAAGTAGGATCTATTGGACTGATACGATCTAAATTAGCAATAGAATTTAGTAAATACTTTGAATTTAAAAATGGTGAAGAGAATCCTCCAACACATTTTACATGGGATGGTAAAAGATATGAATTAGATTTATCATGGTATAAAGCTATAATGGAGAAATCATAATTATGTTGAATAGTTGAATTAATGAATATAATATGTGATTTTATAGAAAAATATCCTTAACAGTTGATCTGTAATTTAAATAAAACAATTTTGTATAGATTGGTCTTACAGATTTTTATTGCATCGATGAACACAATGTTTGTTTTTAAAAAAATTTGTACTACTAATATTGTAGTCTACAATTGCAGAATATCATATAAATATCTTACCAATGCACAATTGAAAGTACATTAGAATTTTATAGGCACTTACATTTAATATAAATAAATTGTTTTAACATCATTCACATATGATAGTCTCTGAATAAATATTACAAAAATATACTCTAATCTCAAATAAAATATTTGAGCGTATGACAACCTGAAAACTATAACTAGTATTGCTTTAGAATCTAAAGATTAGATAAATAAATTATATATTCACAACAATTATTTCAATTAAATTGTAGTTAATGGAAATTAATCTAAGTCTTATACTACTTCTTTGAAGATTGTTGTAATGCTTTTGAAGAGTGTTGATGAATATTTTGCATGAGCAATTAAAAATATTTGTAATAAATTTGTAAACTCTATCAACTAAGTTAATATCTCATTTTATGAAAACCTAATATTAATAATAAAATAGACTTAAAGGACACTTTTCAAATAAATAAATCTTCACAAAATTCTATAAAACCGATATGTAATAAATCAGATGAGTTGTTTTTAATCAGCAAATCTCATAATTTGTATTTCATATTTTTTATCTGCTATGTCGATTCATCTGAATTGTTTTTAGAAAGAGGTGTGAAAGATCCTTTTTCAATCCAAGACAGACCTAAATTACCGCTAGATCTATTATCTGTTAACGTCCCTGGTAATGATTTGCTTTCATCATTCCTAAGCATCTCTCGTAATGGCTCATGTATTGCTTCATTGTATTTTTCAAATGCTATATAATGTTTATCAGTAGTAGGTGGTGGATCATATATGGCTTCTATACTTGCCTGCACACATAATTTTACTTTATCTGTAAATTCTGATCTGTTGCTGTGTAATAATTCAAAAGCTTCTTTATTTAAAATTTCATTTCTGGGATTGGCATCTGCATTATGAAATACCCATTTTATATACTTTAACAGTTGCCAAATGTGATTATCCGAAAATTTCCAATTGGAAAATCCTATAGAGAGATCTAACACGCCAGTATTTTCATTGATGTGTGGGTGGTATACTTTATTTTGGAATATCACAGTCTAAAAAGCATATATTTTTTTAGATTTATACAAGAAATATATAAATGATTTTTAAATTTAAAAGCGTTAGAAATTTCAGATGTACGGCAGATTATGTGAAAACAAAAATTTCATTTATTCAAATAGTTAATTATTTCAAATATTTACTTACTGGGACCCCACTATCAGGAAATGTTTCTGGTATTATTATATTAAATCTAAATACAGCTTCTGCATAAAATCCTTCATGTAAAAATATAACTCCAAACCACACTGTAAAAAATTTATAGATTTATTTGAATGAAACTATTTATATATTAACTCATTATAATAAATAAAGAAAAAAAGTTAAAACTAACTAAAAATTTAAGGTTTCTTATAATTATATATTCTTTCAATTATGAAGAAACTATTCGAATCGAATAAGTATTATAAACTTATATATTATTTTTGGTTACATGATTTTACTTACAAAATGAGCTTTCAAAGGAAGGAATAACGTATGTATTCGTAATATTTTCATTTTGTATCAATTTGCTGAAATTAAATAACTTTTAATATAAATATGTAAAGATGTAGCATTTAATAAGTAAAACAAATTAATTAATATTTACTATTCAGCTAATATTTGATATTCCTTATGAAAGATCTGTGTTCGTACATTTGAATCACATTTTTCTTTTTCTTTAGAATTTAGAGGATCATCTACATTTGTCTGCAATTGAATTTATAAATATTATTTACGGATGTATTATAACAAATTCATCATTAAAACATTATCTGCAAAATATACCTCCACCACACTACTTTTATCCATTCTTTCATAAATATTTAAAATTTATGTTAATTTAATTTGCAATTAAAAATAATATTAAAGCTGTCAAAATTTCAAACTGTCAAGAGAGCTGTCAATGATCAGATGTCAAAATGTTTGACAGATCTTGGCAAAAGATGGCGGGGCGACAATATTTTGCGAATGATCATATTTTGTTATAGTTTTGATTATATAAATATGTGAAGTTTATTCACACTAACAATTAATTTGATGAAATTTTACTACAATATTTTGTTTTGATTATCTCGAATAATAAAAACTTCACACTTACTTAAAACCATTCAAAACATCTATGGTCGATCTATTGTGACAGTTACTTCGATCATACTTCACATGAACGATTAATATAACCTATTTGCCATGCCACTAATAAATATATAACCTCTTACTATTCATTGTCAAAATTTAAGACTTTTTAATTATAAAGTGAAAAACACAATTACCAAAATGACTTCTAGAGAAAATCACAAAAGGAAACTTTCCAAATCAATTTTGGAAATGAAATTCATGAAAAGAACAAAAGAAAAGTTTCAACAGGAGCAAGAAGATGAGGAAGGTAGGAATATGTATAGCAATGAAATTACAGACAAAATGAGACACAACAAAGGATCACAATATATAGAAGAAACAAGTTTTGCCATATGTGAAGACTTACTTATTGGTAGACTATCATACAAAGGTATGAATCCTGAAATTGAAAGAATTCTTGAACTCGAAGAATTAGAAAAGGCTGCCAAAGAAACACCAAAAGATGAGGCAGATGTTACAGATAAAGAGATGACAAAATATTATATAGACAAGACGGGACAGCGGGGAAATAATGAATCTAGAACATATTCAAAGTATAATATAAAGCGAAAAAACACTGAACAAAGGAATACACCTTCAAAGTTTCTCAAACCAAATTATGATAATTTATATAAGTAATTAATTTTAAAACTGATATGTTATGAAATAATAGTTGTAATCATATATTGCATAATATTTTTGTAGAATAAATTTATATTCTAGCTAGAGTTACAAATTTGTAGTTATTGATATGCACACTAAATTACGTCTTAACAGTTTCACTTATGGGCTAAATTGCAAAAAATGACACATTCCTAAAATTAGTGTAATAACTGAGGCCATAGATATTATAAAACATAGATAACGGGGCGTCACGGGTATTCTAAATAATTTGGCACTTATACTTAATGTTGATGTATAAAGCAAAACTGTGTGTAGATCTTCATGTGATGTATCCATATGTACAAAAGGTCTTACTACAATTTCATGTCCTACACTTTTCAGCGAAACACAGGTTGTTGTCAATCTAGCAGCCTGTAAATATAAAAATCATTATTTAATTTGAAATAATTAGAATATTTTATTCTGTTTTACTTGCAATGTTCTTACTTGAATAAAAGGTGCTGCTGTTATAACCAGCCACAAAAAAACATTTAATATGTGAGCTGTTATATGACAAAGCTTGCTACTTTCAATATTATCATAATTTAACAACCATATTAGACCTGAACAAGTCCATGAAACATTTACAATTGTGAAAAGTCCTATTGCTGGTGACACTTTTTCATTTAGATGTCTTAACAATAGACGAAATTCACTTATTTCCTAAAATAAATATCATATATTATTATAGATTACAATTCATACATTAATGTTTGATTAAAATATGAAGACTTGCTCTCATCCAATCAAGTGGTTGGATTGTTCTTTGGACGAGTCTTTCTCGCAAAAACTGTAATTGATATTTGAGTAGTTGCACTTGAATACAATAACAAGCTATTACCGTAGCTTGAACTGCATCTTGGCATAAAGTAGTGTATATAACTAAAGCTTTTAGAATGGTCTTAAACATGGAAGGCCTAAAAATAAAACCCGCTATGGTAATTTCTACCTGTTTTAAATAACAAATTAGAAAAATGTGAAATTTGTAGTCAACATTGCTCAATTTATGATAATAATAATAAAAAGTGTTTTGTTCAAACCATGAATTAATCCACTTCAGCCAAATATGGTCTTCCTTAATTGTCATCCAATTTACAGTCATGCAAGAGCAAACTGTCCAAAGCAAACCGAATATTATAAAACTCCATAATACTCGTAGTATTTTTTTGGGATTTTTTGTCAATTCTCCAGGACTTGATGATAATATAAAGACCTTAAAAAAAACACTTTCCTAAATTTCTCAGTTTTTTATGTGATACATCTATATTAAATTTTATACCCGTTCTATCAAGTGTTGCAAATGTTCATTGTCAGAAATTCGAAATATAATAACAGAATATATGTATCCAAAAAAATGCAATAAGCCAGGAATTACGTAGCTAAATAATATACTTGCATTGCAAATTCTTTCATCATTTGGCCATTGTGATGATTTTACTAAAATGTCTGAAGATGAGTTATTATTTCTCAAACAATATCCTCTATCTCGTCTGGAAACCATAAGATATTAATAGTAATGGATTATTAAATTGTTAACATTAAGAAATACAGAACTATATCAAAATGGAAGAGAAGTCACAAAATCGATCTAACTTCCGCTCTAACGGTTTTCAGGAACCAAAATATTTAAAAGGCGCACACATGTTAGAATAAACCAATGTGAGTTGAATTTATATAATAAATATTTTTGGCAATTTATTCATATTTTTAAAGTTATAATAATATGTTAGTTATATATTAGAAAATAAGCTCACTTACCTAAAACAAGTAGCAAATTGAATAAAGTAACCAAATAATAGAGAAATACCAATAAATGCAGTCTGTGTATGTCCTAACAACGATGTGGGGCTCCAAGTAGCAGATCTTTCTATTGACATAGGCCTTAGGCCCATCAATCCAAGAATGCAAGCATACGGCAGTAATAGCTTAAAAAGGTACGTTTAATTTAATTTAATTTTTTTTTAAATACGTTTTTGGTTCAATATAATTGTATTTATTGTTCTGTTGTCCATGGCAATGACCTCCATGTGCAAAAAAATAAATATTGTGATAATAACTGATGAGGCTAGACAAAGCAACGGACAATCAGTATGATGTTGATATAGAAATTGTGGAACTTGAAATTGAATTATTTCAAGTTCATAATAGAAATTAATATAGTGAGAAGAGTGCGAAAAATTATAAATAATTGATATATAAAAAAAGAATAATAAAACAAAATTAAAGATGATTAATAAAATGTAATTGAATGAATTATTAAATTTACATTTTTTTTCAATTTCATCTCATAAAGAAATTAATCGGTTTAAATTAGAACGGAGAGAGATTTTATAATAATTATAAAATATATATTATATATTACTTTGAGATAATATAATAAAAAAGCGATAAATTTATTCATTATTGATATCTATAGATATTTTTTAAAATAAATTTAATAATTTTAAAAATAATTAAATTGAATATTTTTATAAAACTAAAAATTGTGTATTTTCTATAGATTTTCTGAATATTTCCAACTATTATTTTACTGCATTTTTTTCAAGATATTTTTTCCTAAATTTACACAATTTATATAAATACACTATTTTTTAATTTTATAAAAAATATTCAATTTTATATTTTTTGAGCAGTATTAGAACCAATAAAAAATTATTTATATTGAACTATATATTATTGAATAATATATACTATCAATTAATATTGAATATATATATAATAACTTTTAAACCAATTTATTTGGTTTGAATTTAATTTGTTTACTAGCGGATAAATATTTTTAATAAACAAGATATTAAAATTTTTGGCAGTACTTAAATATTTTTTTACCTTGCATTTGCAATAATCTAAGACTGCAGACGTGTTGTGACTTTCGGAATCTGGAGTTCGTACACTTTGATGTGTCTTGAAAGATAATATAATGTGAATTATCTTATTATTGAGATAAATTTATGTTTTGTCTATATTTACTTCTGATAATATACTAGTAGTTTCCGAAGTATTTGAATCCATTTAGAAATGTATAACATTTGATTCGTATACTGTTGAGCGGTCACGTTTCAAATGTTTCATGTTCTTAATACTTTTTTAATAAACATAACACTAAAATTTTGTTAAAGTTTCACAAACACTCACTGTTTCATAAATACATAATTTAACATTCACAGATCACTCACAGTGATTCAAATGCAATTATATATTTAAATAAATAAAATAATTTTATTAATAATCTTAACTTATAAAATGTTCAATTTTAAATAAATATTAGAAATTTATTAGAAAATGAGTATACATTTTATAAATTTCTATACTATTAAAAATTTATTAACGTATAATTTCTTCACATAATTTTTCCAGAATAATATGTCGAAGTTTATTTTTATAATGTTGATGAATGAGTAAAGAATAAATAATACCGATAACCCTGCTATATTCTTTATCTCCAGTAACATATGTGAAATTTGTATACTCTTCTTTTATCTATGTTTGTATGTATACTTAGCTAGTACAGCTACCAACAAATATTTTTTGTGATTTATAATTTTTCTAATAATTTTGACTTAAAACAATAAGTTTTTAGATTTTCAAAAAATTGCATTTGGTTGCAAACATTAATTGCATCACGACCAAAAGCATATTGATCGTAATTATGCAATATATAATAGATAAGTAAACATAATTATAATAACATAATAAAAAACGCATTATACCCAGTAAACCACAAAACGTAATTAAAACGTTATGTAACGTAAAAGATGTTACGTCTAACATAACGGTACGTAACCTAGGAGGCACACAGACGTTTCTATTTCCGCCTCAAAAACGTAACGGCCTGTTTTTTGTTACGTTTCCAAATTGCGCGAAACACGTAACGATTTCGTTTTTGTTACGTTTCTAAATTACTAAATTAACGTGTGGCTGTCTTTGATGTTACTTAAAAATTTAATAGAATTGCTGTAATATAAAAAACCATTTTTTATATTAATTTTATTTCATATTTTAATAAGAATTTACAAAATTTACATAATATATACCTAAAATTACAAACTACAAAAATAAAATTTGAATTTTAAAAATTTGATTAAACTAATACAAAAATTAACAATGCTAACAAATTTCTACTTAACAGGATGGAATTAAAACTGTTTTATTTTGATTATATAATTTTAACCATTGAAAATAAGTCTTGTGTAAAATTCTTGGCAACCTTTGTTTATCAAATTGAAACCATTTTGCTGCTTTCTGTTTGTAAATGTATCTAAAACAGAACCAAACAGGTTAGAAACAATTTCTACAAATTATTTATTGATAATATTGATTTAAATTTTTGTAACATTACCTCTAATAATATTCATTATTTTCAAGTTATTGACAGCTAGGCAGTCTTTTCAACCATACTAAAAACATATTAATTCTTCATCGAATTACACTTTAGACAATAATAATATAATAACTTATAATATGTTAACATACTGATTTATAATCAGTTGTCAAAGGCAACTGATGATGGCAGTGACATACTATTTAGGTTTGTAAAACTAATTCAAATTGATATTACACATACAAATATTAATTGTTGTTTATTATCAGGACATCTCATTAATGTATACACAATATTCATTATTGTTTATCACCAGGTCATCTCATGTTAGTTGCACGCAAGTAGCTGAAGAACAAGGCTCAGGTGGACCTGGTGGAGCACAATCGATTTATCATTTGCATCTTCATGTAATGGGAGGACGTCAAATGCAATGGCCACCAGGATAATAAAATAAATAAAGGATAATCAATAAATAAATAAACTAGGTTTGTAAAACTATTAAAACATTTTCTTGAGATGGCCCAGTAGTTTTCAAACTGATATGTGATATTTTACCTTGCATAAAAAATCGTAATGATTTTTGCTTTATATGAAATTTATGAATTAGACCTTTTGTAATAAAGACATTCAAAATGTTGATATATCAAAGCAATGTAATGCCATGTCTTTTAAACTATAAATGCAAATTTAAGAAGTCAAGCATTATTGATAAGCATCCAATCATTTATTGTTATTTGGTATAAAAACTACTTCAATAAAGATTGAAAATTTTAAAGATACATAATTAAAAAAATAATGATAGATATAATTAGTCTAAAATAATTATATTTATTATTAAGATTTCAACATTTAATATTTCCTTGATCTAACTGATTTACATATAAACATAGATAGTTGTTTTGAAAAATGTTTATATTTTGGGTAATTTGTTGCAGTTATCGTTAAAAATGTATGTTTGATATATATTTACAAATAAAATAGGAACTATATTTGATTTATATTTATATATGAATGTGATTAGATGT